GCTCTCACTAGGGCTACTCCGATTACAGTCTCTGTATAGTGAAGAACCCCAACACCTTGATAATCCCCAAACCACCAGGACAGGATCTCTTGCCCCAGAGTCCACTCCTCCAGCAAGCTGTTTCTCATTTTCTCCCCTTCTTGTTCACTTCTGTCATGTCTTCTTCCCCACCCTGCCTCTCCTGCTGCTTTATCCGGCCTTATTTAGAACAATATGGCTTCTACTACTATCCTCTGCCTACCCCCTCTGTCAGCATGACAAAGACCTGGTAATGGGCCAAATGATCAAAGGATTATTTCTTTTAGGATAGTGGGAGGTAGGGTGCGGAAGGGGTAGGTTGAAAATCTTTATGGTTTAATATATTTTATATCTGTCTCACTGTCATATGCATAAATGTGTGTATGTATATATACATACATACCTGGAGGTCTTACCAGAACCTCTAACTTTTAAATTCTATGAAAGTAGGAACTATGTCTTTTTTATGAGCCCTATCCAGTGAACCACAGATGACTTCAGCGAGTCATATGCCTTCTACGGGAGGAGGGTGGGAGAGAACGGGATAGGCATTCGTGGAGTTTTTATTACAGTACAAGCCACCTGACATGTAATATGTACAGTATGTTAAATGCTTGCGGTGCACCCAGTCCTCTGTGTGAGTCCTCTTAATTAGTTCTTAATGCTGAGCCGTGTTTCTCACCTCTAGGAATTGTGCAAAATGATGGCCATTCTCACAATCACCTTATCACCATAGATACTGTGGGAAGCATTACATAGATGAGTTTGGGGCTCTGAGAATCATTCACTCTGCTCGGGGTTCCACAGCCGGAGTGGCAGAAACAGAACGTTTGTCCTGGTCTTTTTGACTCTATGGCCCTTGTCTTCTTCTGTCATTTTCCATAAAACAAATCTATTTCAATTGTTTGAAGACAAGACATGGAGAGGCCAAGGATGAGGAAGCCTGTGCTCATCACTGACACGCTCTGGAGCAGGAGTGGAAAGGATGGGTGTCGGGTGACACAGCTCATTCCAGCAGTGTTTCTCCAGGGGGACACTATTGACGTTTTTGGAGGGACAATTCTTCAGCATGTGGGAATGTTTTGTGAATTTCAGGGTGTTTTGTGTCCTTAGTTCTTGCCCACTATATGTCAATAGGGCCCTTTCTCTTTGTGACACCCCCAAAACAAGTGCTCTTAGACATTTCCTAATGCCGCTAGGAGAAGGTACTGCCCTTCTACCCTGAGAACCACTATAGACCAATCTGCCTCTCTAAGTGAGCTCCTAGGTCCCCTTTAGCTTTACTATTCAGTCATCAGTGTAGAGATGAATGAACGAATGAATGAATGAATTGAATGAATGAATGAATGAATGAATGGAGGGTCAGGAATGGTCCCAGGCATCAGCTGCTCTTGTGAGGGGAGATTTGAATGGAGATTTGGAGGACTCAGGATGACACCCACATGGAAATGTGATGTATGACCCAGATGTGAGATGAAAGGACCCAGAAGGCAAACTTCATCTACTCTGCAGTTTACCTCTAAGCAGACCCCTTCCGGGTGCTTTCAAGCCTGCTGAATGAAGACTCTGCCTGCTCAATGGCAGCCTGGAGTGGGAGCAGAAGAGGGGAAGGAGGTGCCTCAGTCTCACTATAGCAAAGTGGAATAGCGTCGCTCTCGGCGCTAATGCAAACCAGCTGCCTGCCGGCCCCAGCTTGTGATAGAACAGGCGGAATTCTTGGACACTGAGTTATTCTTAGAAGCATGTGCACAGCCCCCTGGCAGGGCTCACTGTGAACTGGCTGTTGCCAGCCCCCTGTCAGGATACTGTGCCAGCAGACCCAAGAGTGACTGTTCTTGCTTATGAAAAATAACTTTGGGATTTTAATTTCAAATTACTCACAGAGCTAGAGCCTAGATGTGTAAAGCGATGGTAAGGGCAAAGAGTAGAGCAGGACAAAGGGAAGGGATGAGGGGCAGAAGAGCATCATTCATTTGCTCAGCAAATATTTATTGAGTGCCCCCCACCCTGCCTGTGCAGATATGGGGGTTCTCATCACATCCAGACTTCCATTTGATCTGGGTGAACATAGACGGGCAGGTGGCTAGACCTTGAGAGTGGAGATGGCCATGGGTTTTTAGGTTCTGTTTATTGAGTATTTTTTGTGATCCAGGCTCTTTACATAGGAGATCTTGTTCGGTCTTCATAGGAACACTGAGAGGTAGACATCACTGCTCCTATTTTATAGGAAGCTGAGTGGTAGAGAAGGAATCTGCCCGAGGCTCCAGAGCTATCAAGTGGCAGAGCCAGCATTTGAACTCAGGCCAGTAGACTCCTGCTTTCCTGCCCGTGTTGGGCACCAACTCTGTGCCAAGGCTGAGCTAGACGTTGGGACTAGGAAACAAAATAAAGAGGCTAAATTACAGCCCTCAAGTCTCTCTGTTGCACTGTCTCTGGAAGAGACAGGCATAGTGCAAGGAATGATAGTAGCAGGATCTATAAAGCAGGAGATCAGAGGTATTGCACTCTGCCAGGACGTATCAGGGACAGTTTTGAGGAGGTGGGAATGGCTGAGACTTACACAGGCACCTTCATGGAAGGCAACAGAAAAGAGCACGTCCAGCAAAGGACCAGCGTGTGCGGTAGCCCATGGTTGGCAATCACGAGATGATCGCTGGTGTTGTGGCACAGGGTGCACTGGAGGAGATGGAAGATAAGGATGGGAAGGGGAGCAGGATCTGACCAGGCAGGGCTTGCAGAATCGGCTGGACCTTTGTCCTGTAGGAGCTGAAAACTCATGTATCCATGTGTTTAGTCATTTGCTCACTCAACATGTATTTACTGAGCACCCAATATACACCAAGGACTCTACATTAAAGAGTTTTAAGCAGGAGACAGGTGCATGCTTTGTACCTTAGGGGGAGAAAAGGTACCTGTGTGGAAATTAAGGGGTCTCCAAATGGCCCATGTGAAAGATGATCCAAAAATGACCAGTGGTAGCAGCTGGGAGATTAGGGGCATATGTAATGGCATGAGGGACCTGCCCACTTGACAGACATAGGGATTTAACTGAAGCTCTGGATTTCCTCTATAAAACACATTGGCGAAGGTATGCCCACATCATGGAAAGTGCCTGTAAATGTGGGCATCTCTGCAGGACACCGACATATGCCTCCTGTCGTTTAGAATTGTATGTTTATCAAGGATCATTTGTGCTTGGTTCCAAATCTTTCCTGCAGCCTTTCCCGTTAGTCACTTAATGCAATATTAGCCACAAAAATAAAATAGGTGTGAAAAACAAAAGGAGAAATGTTTCTATGAATGCTGAATCGAAAGGTTTGAAAAGACTTACTCAGGAGAATTGAAAAAAAAAATTGCCGTGGAGTTGGGTGTGGTTGAAACAATGAAAGAATTGGGGAAATCATAAAATTCTAGCAAGATTCTGCACTCCGATTGCTTTACAAGGGTCTTTAAGGTCTCTCTCTGCTTCAAAGCAGCTGACGCTGGAAACTGTAGATGATGCATGATGGGTGTGGTTTATGTAAGAAAGATGACAAGAAGTTCCAGTCAGCAGACCCGTTCTCAAAGAAAAACCTTGGCTCCACATCAAAAGAGTGGTGAATGAATGTGCATTTATATGCTTTAAGTTAAAATTAAACAGGTTTGAAGTATTATGTATCATTCTTTAGCTTTAAGAAAAGTTTTTATTGAAGTGTAACATACATAGAGAAAAGAGCACCCATCTAACAGTGTAGCAGGATATATTTTCACAAAGCGAACACTCAGGGTAGCCGGCAACCAGATCAGGAAACAGAACTTTGCCCCCACCCCCAAAATCTTTCTTCGTGTCTTATTCCAATCATCGCACACTCTTGCCTCAAATGTGATGGCTACTCTGACTTCTATCAGCATTGGTTACGTTTTCCTATTTTATAAATCAAGCTAAATGTTTTTGTTTTGTGTTTTGGGCTTGAATTCCTTTGTTTGGCATTATGTTTGCAAAATCCACCCATGTTGTTCAGTGTAGCAGTAATTTGGTCAGTCTTATATGGTATTCCATGAGCTATAGTGGTACCCAGTAAGCACTCAATAAATAGTAGCCAAAAAGAGATGTAAGTAACCCTAGCAAAATACGACCACATCTGGGTAGCAGTCCATCTGAGTTCAATGGTGCTTTGGAAGTGGTTGATAACTCTGTTTATCTACCCATTTTATTATTGGGGGATATTAGTGTTGTCTCCAATGTCTTGTTGTTGTGAACGCTTCTGCTATATACATTTTTATACAGGCCTTGTGATGAACATATACATGCATTTTTTTTTAATGTTTATTTATTTATTTTGAGAGAGAGAAAGAGTTCCAGCAGGGGAGGGTCAGAGAGAGAGGGAGAGAGAGAATCTCAAGCAGGCTCTGCACTGTCAGCTCAGAGTCTGATGCAGGGCTCAAACTCACAAACTGTGAGATCATGACATGAGCTGAAATCAAGAGTCAGACGCTTAACAGACTGAGCCACCCTGGGGCCCCATCTTTTGAGCATCTTTCTAGAAGGAAAATTGCTGGGCCCTAAGTTGTATTTGTATTCAGGTTTTGTAGATACTACATGGATTTTCCAAAGTGGTTGTGTCTGTTTACGCTTTTCCTCTGTAGAGTATGAAAGTCCCAGTGTTTCCAACATCCTTGCAAATATTTGGTGCTGTCTGTGCCACTGTTGTTTCTAATTTTAGCTATTCATGTGGGGGTGATGTATTATCTTATTGTTTGTTTTTAGTACATCTTTTATTGTGGAGTAATTTTAGATTTACAAAAAAAAAAAATGGCAAAGATAGTACACAGAGTTCCCATGTTGACCTCACCCGGTTTTCTCCATTGTTAACATCTTACATTACTATAATGTATTGGGCAAAGCTAAGAAACTGTCATTGGTACATTACTATTAAGTAAACTCCAGACTTTATTTGGATTTCATCAGTTTTTCCATTATTTTCTTCTTTCTGTTCCAGGAACCATTCCAGGGAACCGCATTGCATTTACTTGTCATGTCTCCCCAGCCTCCTCTGGTCTGCGACAGTCTTCCAGTCTTCCTTTGTTTTTATGGCCTTGATGGTGTTGAGAAATACTGGCAAGGTATCCTGTAGCATATCCACTAATCCAGGTCTGTCTGATTGCATTACTAGAATAGGGTTAAAGATTTTTGGAAAGAATAGCACAGAGGCGAAATGTTCTTCTCATTACACCATAATTAAAGACTACATACCAACCACATGACATCACTGATGAGGTTAACCTTCATCACTTGATTGAGATAGTCTTTTCCGGGTTTCTCTACTGCAAAGTCCCCATTATTCCTTTCTCTATTCTATAGTTTGGAAGTGAAGCACTGAGTCCAGCCACCATCAAGATGGGTGGGAAGGGAGAATTAAGTTTTACTTTTATCTTCCTCATGCATTTGTTCATTCATTCATTCATATCAGTATGGACTCATGTATATTAGTTTTGTACTTTGGGTTATAATCCAGTACTATAGTGACTTACTTGTGGCTCAAATTTTTCCAGCATTGGCCACTGGGAACTCCTTCAGGGTGGCTTCAATATCCCTTTAACATGTCCCCCACCCCTTTGTTTTTTAAGCATTTTTTTTTTTTAACTTTCTGGTACTTAAAGTCACTTCTGGTTCATATTGTATTTTCCCTGCTCCAGACTTAGAATTGTCCATTTCTCCAAGAAGCTTTGATCCCTTTTATTGGAGAATAGAATTTAGAAACCAAGATCTCAGTGCTAAGTGTCTTATTGTGGTTTTATTTTGCATTTCCCATGAAGATGATCCCATTTTCAAAATGATCATTGGCATTTGGAATATTCTTTTTAATGAAGTGGCTGGCTATTCATGTCATTTTTCTATTTTTCTCTTGGAATGTCTACATTTTTCTTAGAGATTTATAGACAGTTTTTCTTTTTGTGTGTATTCTGGATTTGAGTCCTTCATTGAGTATACATATCACAAATATCTTCGTCCACTCTGTGGCTTATATTTCCATTCTCTCAGGACTGTCTTTGAAACTCAAACGTTCTTGATGTTATCATGGTACAACTGGTCATCTTTTCCCTTATGGTTCTGTTTATGATCATAAGAATATTCTCCAAGGTTATCCCCTAAAAGCTTTATCATTTTACCTTTCATATAAGACACCTGGAATTGATTTTTGTGTGTAGTGTGAGGTAGGTTGAGGATGCTTGCTTTATGTTTTTATATGGGTTTCTAATGACCAAGCCCCATTTATTAAAGAGACCATACTTTCCTTACTCCATGCTTTTTTATCTTTGTTTCTGGAATCTCTGTTCAATTCTGTATGTTTATTTGTCCACCCTTTCAACAATGGCACACTATCTTAATCACTGTAGCTTTATAAGGCTTGATATCTGGTAATGCAAGTCTTCCAATATTTTTTCTTATTTTTCAGTGTTATGTTGGCTATTCTTGGCCTTTCTCACATACATGTTAGAAGAACAGGTCAATTCTCTCTCTCTCTCTCTCTCTCTCTCTCTTTCTCACAAATACACCCCTTCACTAGGAATTTCACTGAACCTATAGATCAATTTGGGAATAACTGACACTTTTAAATTATGAAGTCTTCTTCTCCATGACAATATAGCAGATTCTTTCTATTTATTTAGGTCTTGTAAAATTTTTCTCAGTAAGACTTTTCAGTTTTTAGTGTAAAAGTCAGACATATTTTGTTTTAATTGTAAGTAGTTGGTATTTTTTGATGCTATTGTATAAAGTAGCTTTAAACTTTTCATTTATAATGATTTACTGATAGCATATCCAATATTATTTTTTAAATATATTGATGTTATATCCGCTAACCCTTGCTAGCTTCCCTTATTAATTTAATGATTTGTCTGGAGAATCTTTTGGCTTTTCTATGTACACAATCATATATAAATAAGGACAATATTTTTTTTTCTGATCCCTATACCTTTCATTTATTTTTTTTCCTTTTATTTATTTATATATATTTTTCCATGACTTCCAGGACAATGTTGACCAAAATTTTGGTAGTGGATACTCTCGTCTTACTCTTGATCTCAGATGGACACTTTCAATATTCCATTGTTAAGTATGTTTTCTGTAGCTTTTAAAAAATATATGTACTTATCAGATTAAAAAAGTTCTTTTCACTTGAGGCTAAATTTGCCAAGATTTTTAAAAATCATGAATGGATGTTGGCTTTATAAATGCTTTTTACTCATTTATTGAGACAATCCTATGATTTTTGTCCTATATCAAATTAATTGGTAAATTACATTGATTGATTAATTTTGAACATAAAACCAACCTTGTATTACTGGAATAAACCCAACTTGGTTGCCACATACCATTCTTTTTATATATGGTTAGATAACATTTGGTTACAATTTTTCTATCTATGTTTATGAGAAAGATTGACCTGTAATTTTTAGTTCTTATAGTGTTCTTGTAAGGTTTGTTTTCAAGATTCTGCTGGCATGATAAGACAAGTTGTGAAGTGTTTTCTTTTTTTGCTTTTATTTGGAAGAGATGTTTAAGATTAGTGTTATTTCTCTTTCAAATATTTAGAAGAATTCACCAGTGAAGTCATCTGGGCCTGGAGACTTTCTGGGGAAGTTTTTTAATTACAGGTTTAATTTTTAAATTAGATATATTACTATTTCAGGCAAATTCCAGAATTTTTTGGTTCCTGAAAATACAGTTAAACTAAAATGTGCTAAAGAGATCAAGATTAAAATGTAGTCACCAAGTTCACACAGCCTAGTGGTTAAGAACATGAACGCTGGAATTCTACTCCAGTCCTCTTCAATAATGAATTTTAAATACAAACAAAACAAAAATCCTTGTTTATTCAGCTTTAGTATTAGAATCTTAAGCAGTCAACAGAATCTTGGGTTAAATTTTTTAGCATATTTTTGCTCTACTTCCTAAGCTTCTGTTCTGTGCAAAAGCTTTAAGCTAAAAGAGTGTTGGGCTTACTTCTCTATGCCTTTCTTCTCTCAGAGATCTTGGACATTCAATTCTTCGCTGCCTGGAAAGCCATGAACTATAACTTTTTATCTCCCCAGCTCTGTGCAATTCTTGAAAACTTTCCTGGCATTTCTGCCCTTGGCAACTGTCCTCTGACTGGACACCTTGGAAACGCCAGGCAGCGAAAGAGAGAGGGATTGTTGGCTCACCTGACTGTGGTTACCTTCTCTCCAAGATCTTGACTTCTCCTGTGCTGGCTGCCTCAGCAACTGTCAAGTGCCTTCAAACAGATTTGTGTTTGTAATTTAATTGGATTTTATAGTTTTTTCTTGACATAAATGGTGTGTTGCAAGCCACTCAATATAGGTAGAATTAGATGTTTGAATATCTTTATTGTTATTATTAATTTCTCACTTGATTTGACCTTTAAAATGTTTATTTACTTATACTGAGAGAGAGAGAGAGAGAGAGAACAAGAGTGCACGTGAGTTGGAGAGGGGCAGAGGGAGAGGAAGAGAGAATCTCAAGCAGGCTCCATGCTGTCAGCACAGAGCTGATGCAGAGCTCCAACCCACGAACTGTGAGATCATGACCTGAACCAAAATCAAAAGTCGGACGCTTAACTGGCAGAACCACCCAGGTGCTCCATTGATTTGAACTTTTCATTTAACCAATTGACTAAGGTTAATTTTCAATTAGCCAATTGTTAATAAGAGATAAGAGATCTACTATGATGATGATATTAATATTAATTAGTGTCAATATTAACTAACTGTAATATTAATAGTAATAATAGCAGCTAACATCCTTGGCTAAACCACTGGGTGCAAGACTCTATGTTAACTTGCTGCTGTGTATTCTCTTATTTTATCCCTTAAAACCCCTGGAGGTAGATATTATTATATTCCTTTTTTTTTTTTTTTTGGAGGAGAAACTGAACTCAGAGTAACCTGCTCACATCCATAAGGCTAATAAATGGTGATAATAAAATATGAGGCAATGCTACTCCATACCAGAAGCTACAGCCTTCAGAAGATATTTAGAATGCATTTACCTTACAGTTGATGTATTTAGAGGCACACGAGGGTAACTGAGCAGGGGAAAGTGTTTGAAGGTCTAGAATAGGATGCAAAAGAGCCAGTGTAGAGGGCTGAAGCGGTCAGATTCCTTTAATGTAGGAGACTGGCTTCTTACCTAGAAAAAAGGGGGATTCTAGTTTCAGAATACCCTATTTCCCTCAATCTGAAATTCGGCACTTCACATGTTTTATGTTCTCACGCAAAAGGGATGCGTCTTACAATAGATGTCAAAAGAAACTTGTCAGCTGCCCAGCACTGGAATCAGTGGTGATGAGGAATTCATCTCCAGCGCATGGTGCAACCTGCCTGCATTCATCTGATTGCCACTTCGGCTGGGTGACTTATTTGGGTAGCACCTTACAGAGTTAACCATTACTTAATCTTGTCCCCTTCATGAAGCTTCTTCAAAAAAGTTATAATAGGATTAAACATCGAAATAAGAACTTGCTGAATTCACAGGTTTTCCATCGTTTTTCAGGAAATGCCATTAATACCGCTGAAATTGCCAAATGTTTTGGAATTCAGCATAGACTTCTCAAAGCCAACAGTGGCTGGTGTGACTGACTCGACTGACTCACGCGTCATGAAGAGCATCAAGCACCCAGCGTCTTGCTGTCAAAAGTTTCCAGCTGACTTTCAAAGGAAGCCATTTGACTTCCAGGAATGTATCCTTCAAGGAAGGAAAAAACAAAACAATTAATTTAACCGAATCGGAAATGCAAACCAACTCCAGCATTCTTTGATATGCCTGGAAATTACTCTGTTAGCTAAAGGTTCCAAAAAGGTCAAGATCAAAGTGTCGATCACGAGAAGGACAAGAGCCTATTGTTAAAACACAGGTCTGGCACCATACTACCTGCCTTTCAGTAGCTAGGGAATTGGGGACACTTATCTCTGCCTCCCCGTCCTCAACTTTACCCAGGGTAAATAACAGCGCCTACCTAAGAGCTGTTGTGGGGACTAAGCAACTCATCCACATAGACACTGAGAATGGTGAGGGCTCCATAGATGTTAGGTATTAGGATGATCACCATCCCTGATGGGCCCCAAGCTGTGCCTGACTGCTCATGGCCAAACGTGATTCAGAAAAATATTGAGATCTGGAATTTAAAGAGTCCTTAGGGGCTAATTTTGAATGTGATATTGTTGAAGGAAGGGGTATTGATAAACGTCATGGATAAAAGTACAAGGATAATTGTCGGCCACTAAAGGTTTTATTTGTTGTTGTTTTTGCTTATGCTTAATATAATCCTTCTTTTGCTTTTTCACTGAGCTGCTGCTAGACTCCCATTTCAGTAAGTGAAGTCAATGATCCATTCTCCCATCACCATCCCTGTAGTCTGTCCACTGCAGCTGCCTCTTAGTAGCCTCCCCATGCATTCTTTGGCCCCTTGGCAATCTTTGTTATGCACAAATGGCAGATGCTGCTAACAAACATAAGTTAGATTGTGTTGCTGCCTGTGCAAAAGCATCCAGTGGCTCCCCGCCACAGTCACAATAAATCCAAAATCCTTCACATGGTCCCCTGAAACTTCCCTGCTGTGCCACCTTTCTGGTCTGGCTGTGCACTGGTGTTTCTCACTTGCTGTTCTCCTCCATGTCTGTCCGTCCCTCCTAAGGGCCAAGCCCGTCTTGCTCAGAACCTTTGCTGTCCTCCTTCCTCTGCCCGAAGGCTTCTGGGTTGACTTCTGCCCACTCTGCGGATGTCGGCCGAAGCCTCATTCCTCAGAGAAGCCTTCTTAGATGTTAGGTCTGAATCAGACCTCATGTTACAGTCTCCCCACTTGCCTTTTATAGTACTTACCACAGTTTGTTTTTCTTTATCCCTTTGGGTGATTATTTGCTTAATGTCTTTCCCTCTACTCACTCCTCTAAAATCCAGAAGGGCATGGATTGTGCAATTTTTCAAGTGTCAGATCCCTAGTTCCTGGCACATTCTTGCACATGTGCTCTCTCTCTCTCTGTCTCTCTCTATGCGTATAGTTGCACATATCATATACATTTCTTATTAAAATATAATATGCACAAGGTATACACACTTTAAATGTATAGGTTGATGTGAAACTAATATTACACTGTATGTTAACTGTAATTTAAATAAAAACTTAAAAAAATATAAAATAAAATGCCCAAGCTTCTTTAAATAGGCAATCTTCTCCAAATGAAATCCAAATGCTTCTTGTTTTGGCTTGAATTACGAATGCCTCAGAACCAGTTTGTTTGGTTCTAGCTTTATCCAACTGCCATAGAAGCTTATAATAAACAGCAGAATATAACACAAAAACAAAAAGCAACCACACAAAAATTTAGAGGTTGATGAATTTTTATATGTAAATACTTTCATGTGACCAGCACCCAAAGCAAGAATGGAACATGATGAACCCCTAGAAATCTCTCTTCTGCCCCTTCTTGTCGCGCCACAAAGGCGACTATTTATTTGCACTTTTACCATCAGAGATTAATTTCCATTTCTGAGCTTCATGTAAATGAACTTGTAAGCATGTACTCTTATGTCTAGCTTCTTTTGCTCAACACCTGTCTAGGAGATTTATCCACGTCATGCAAATCCTCGTAGTTCTTTTTCATTGCTGTGTTGTAGTCTATTGTGTGAATATGCCACGATTTATTAAACCATTGTGTTGTTGATAGACAGCTGGATTGTTTCCAGGTTGAGGGTGGGGTATAACAAATGATGCTGCTAAGAATGTCTTTTTTGCCTGCCCACTGGCAGACATAGGCATTGATCTCTCATGAGTTTGTAACCAGGAGTGCGATTGAGGGGGCCCCCCAGCAATTTGGCAACCATGTATGTGACAAAACATATTTTCTCATATGTTTGTTACATGTTTTGTCACATACATAGTTGCCAGATTTTCCAAAACTGTGGTAACTAATGTAGTATGGGGGGAGCTCTTGCCTCTATTTCTGATAGGGATTCTGCCAGAGTTCAAGAATTCACCTTCAGTCTTTTTCGGTGTGACAGCGATGAACTCCTTGACTTACCTCACCTTGGCCTAAGCAGCAGCCCTCTATCACACCCACCCTGGCTGCAAAGGTCTCACTAGCACAGAACACAGCTATCGTAACTGCTCGGGGGTCCAGAGAAAGTCACAACATTTCTTTTTTCCCTCATATGGCTTTTTAGGCAATCTTGACTCTCTTTCTTGGGTGTCTGGAGCCCCCTCTCCTGTGGTTTTCCCTTTCCCCCTCTGTTCTATCCTCTTCTCCTGGGATCCTGCATTTATTCTGAGCATCTTAGGCTGGAAGTGACATTTCTGGTGCCCTCTTGCTTCTCTCCTTACTCCCTCATGTTGGTGTATTGGTCAGGGTTTTCCAGAGAAACACAATCAATAGGACATAGACAGGTATAGGTGTAGGTGTAGGTATGGGTAGAGTTATATTTATTGAGATATACCTTATACGTATCAAAATTTGCCGTTTTTTGACCTACAGGGTAATGAGTTACGACAACTGTTTACATTTGGGTAACTACCACCATAACTGAAATACAGGACATTTCCATCTCTTTGCAAACTACCCTGGCGACAGAGGCGACAATCCCCTCCCCCAGCCCACAGGAGGGCTCTACCTTTTACTGCACAAACGCCCCCCAAGAAGGCCACCCTAGCAGGTCCTGAATGCTTAACTATAGGGATAGCTCTGTCTTCTAGATGGGAGGCCCTGGGGGCATGCTAGCTGAGGATGGAATGGCTGGTAGAAATGAAAACAGCCCCAGGGACAAGGCTGGGGAGATGGGGGACTGAGATCTGGGGAGAAGCATCCATACCAGGGGGTGAACCCGAGCTTGCTGTGGATTGGCGGGGGGAGGGGGGGTCTGGTGCATGCAAAACCAGAAATGGAGATGCAGGAACTCAGCCTCCAACGTGGGTTCTTTGGCTGGGCCCTCCCCAGTCTTCATGTGCCAGCAGTGTCCCCTGACTGCAGGGATATGGGCTGAGATGCAGTCCGGGTGGCCTCACAGACGTGCTGATTTCAGGACGTGCATGTGCGTGCACGTGTGTGCATGTGTATTTGGAGACCGTGGCAGGGAGCTGTCCATCTGGAGGCATGCAGCTACCCCCGCATCCACAGTCGGGTGGGGAGCTGGGGGCCCCTTCTGCCCGCGCCCGTGAGAGCCCGCTGCTGCCTCGCCAGCGAGCCCTCTGAGCAGCACGGGGTGGGGGGTGGGAGGGTGTCAGCCGTCACCCCCCGGCTGGGGCAACCGCACATTCTTAGACGCTCTATGTCATGGAAAGAAAGGTGACGTGCTTCGTCTGCTCTGCTCTCCCCAAACATTACCACTCCAGCAACAAAGGGAGGCATGCGGTGAGAGACTTTCTCCTCTCGGAGGCCGGGGAGAGTTTTTCAGATACTGGAGTCCATGGTGATATTAAGTTTGAGGAATTTTTCAAATCATCATCCCGCAGAAGCAGCTGCTAACCACCCTCCTGCACCTGGTTCTCCGGGAGACTTAGTTCCAGGAGAGGGACACTGCAGGCACGGACAGCACGCTTTCTTTCCCTTGGCTGTTTGCTTCAAGTGCGGGGCACGTTCAAACATCCAGCCCCAACACGTGTCCCTGTTAGAGCAGTGGGTAAAGTGGACAAGGTCTCTGTCTTCAGGAGACAGCCTGGCAGGCCCTGTGGGGGTGCTGGGAGGGGCTCCAGGGGCAGGGGGAGCCATTGCCTCTGTGGTCCCAAGTATGACTTCCCTGTGCCTGTGCCTTTTACAGAGTGACTGTGGTGGTCTGTTCTCTTTCTTGGAACGGTGCCCTTGCCATGTGCACACAGTCTCCTAGTGGAGAAGAGTGCATCTGTCCAAGCTAAAGCCATTCCAGACCAGGTGACAGCCAGCTGATTCCAGAACACATGAGCAAGGCCAGCCTCGGTCAGCAGCATGGCCTCCGGTTACCACAGCTGACCACAGACTCATCAGGAAGCTCCGTCAAGAGCAGCGGGACCACTCAGCTCACCTCTAGACACCTGAGCAAAAATAAAACTTTATGTTTTGAGCCTCTGAGTTTTGACGTTATTTCTCATGTAGCAAATGCTAACTGGTTCAATGTGTAGGGCACATGTCCTGCCTCTGAGAAACTCACCTTCTAGTGATTGCCCAGAAACCTCTTCATTCCTAACGCAGATGTGATTTGGCTAAGCGGGACAGCATAGAGGCTAAACTGGCTTTGGAGCCCGGTAGAACTGAGTTGTTGTTGTTTTAAGTTTATTTATTTATTTTGAGAGAGAGAGAGAGAGAGAGAGAGAGACAGCAAGAGAGAGCAAGGGAGGGGCAAAGAGAGAGGGAGGGAGAATCCCAAGCTGGCTCTCTGCTGTCAGTGCGGAGCCCAATGTGGGGCTTAAAGTCATGAAGCATGAGATCATGACCTGAGTCGAAATCAAGAGTCAGACGCTGGTAAAACGGCATCTGAATCCTGGTTTTGCCACTTACGTGTTGTGTGAGTTCAGTCTCAGTTATCTGATCTGTAAATGGGTGAAATGATAGCATCCACACAGGCAGTATCTATTGGCTGAAATATAGCATCCATGCGAGCAGCTGTCCAGTGTGTCCATCGGCTGTCGGCTTCCAGGTGATCCTTCTATAGTCTCCTCTGCATACGAACACTGGAACCCTGAGAATTCCTTTTCCTAGAGTCCGTTGCTACCGCTGGCTTCCTGTTGGGGTCTGCCACTAGGATCCATTGGTGGGAAACCAGGAGTCAGGAAACGCACATCTGTCTGCTCCTGGCAGGGCCTCGAGCAGCAGCAGTGGGCTGCTGAGGCCACTGACCGCAGGCAGTGGTGGTGCCACTGGCATTGTTGGTGGGTTGTGACTCCAGTCCAGGGTTACCTGCAGCTTCCTCATCCCTAAGGAACAGTTCTCTGCTCCCCTTTGCTCCTCCGGCCTTCCTATGCTTTTATAACCAGTACCCAGCTTTAATTTGCTTTGTACTTGAAATACGTAAAGTGGCTCCTGAAAAAGACCCCCCCCCAAAAAAGCCCCTGAAAGGGCTAAAGGACTCAACCAGTGGGAGCTGAGATCAGGAGCAGATTTGAACCCCAAGAGAACTGGTCATGGATCGTGGAGTTCTAGGGTTCTGGTATCCTTACTGTGATGTTGGAAGCCTAAGTGGTGATAGGAAATATTGGGACTGAATGAAATTGTATGGAAAATAAAGTCCCAGGGTGAGTTGGGCCGGGCACCAGCCCTGTCCTCTTGTGCTCGAGCCCATTTCCTCACCTGCTCGAGAATGGGGGTCCATGCTTGGAAATAAGAGCCCATCTTACTGCTTGGCTGACTCATTGGGCTGTCCAGGCTTTGCCACCCCCACTGAGGTGGTGACTAGAAATTGGGAGGTGGACAGCCCCACAGCCTAAGTGTGCTGTTGGCTTACAGAACAGCTGCAGTTTGGAGCAGGGAGGGCAGATGTGGAGGAGGAGCACAGAAAAGCCACTGGACCACATGCTGTGAAGACTTCATTCTTGTGCATCTTTCTAGAGCATTGTCATTTCTAGTACATTCTAGTGCATTCTAGAACATCTGAAGTTGTTGGATTTTGGCCAGAGACCTTGATTTTGGCTTTATTGTGGATTGTCTTTGTATAGACTGAGAAAAGATGAAGCTCAGGCTCCAGACCTCAAGCACTTTGAAATAACTGTCCTTTCCAATCAGCACATTACTACACATTATAATTGCTTGAAATTAAAAAAAAAAAAAAATCCATGCTGGAGATCAGCCCTGGAGATTCTAGAAGTCAGGCATGGGGTCTGGCCTTCAGCATTAAAAGAAATCCATCCACAGGGGATTTTAATGTGCTGGTGGAGTCAGAACTAATCTACTAAGCCTTGACCCTTACTCTATTTTAGGAATGAGTGGCTGATTCCAGTTTCCCTTCTCCTGCTGAGCAAGATGGCACTTTTCTTGGAAGGCCAGCCTCACCTTCCTTCACCTTCCTTCAATGCTTCCAACTTCCAAAAATACCTCACCTCCAGAAACTCTGCCAAAAGTTTCATGATGACAACCTATCCCCGAAATAAAGGATGTCTTTGACTTCCCGGTTAGTGATACTAATAATAGCTAAGATTATTTAGTGCTCACCAGGGACCAGGCGATGTTTCAGGTGCTTTCTGTGCATTAATCCATTAGAGCCACACGACAGCCCTACAGAGGCCTATGCCGTAGGGTGGTTGTAAATGCAGGCTCTGGAGCCCCAAGTACTGCATGTGAGTCCTGACCTTGCCCATTACCATCTGTGTGACCTTGAGCAAGTTACTTCCCCTCTTTGTGCCTCAGAGCCTTATGGGCAATACGAGCATCTATTTCTGAGGGTTGGTGTAAGAAGCACATGAATTAACTCAGGAAAGTCTTCAGAAAAATGCCTGAATACCCTGACACATAGAAAATGCAATATAAGTGTTAGTGAGTGTTATCACTCCTATTTTTGAAGGTGAGCTGATGGAGGCGTTGAGAGGTCAAGGAACTTTCCCAGCTAGTAGATCATTGTGACAAGCTTTCTGTTTGTGCAGACTTTTGCAGTTAAAATCTTGTCTTGATGGGTGCTTGGAGCAGCCTGATGAGGTAAGTGGTTACCATCATCATGTGGGTAAGGAACCTGAGACTCAGAGAGGGGAAGTAACTTGCTCAAGGTCACACAGCTGACTTGTGGTAGAGCTGGATCTCTTATCAGGCATGGTTTCTTCATGCTGTGGGGCTGACCCCACACCTTCCCCCCAGAGCTACGATTGTGGCAGAAACCCCCGCCTCTGGCTGGTCACAGCCTTCCCGCTGAGCCCTGACCCACAGCCCGACATCCTGACAATCATCTGGTCTTGCTACCCTTCCCTCATCTCTGTCTCTCTTCACCATAGGCGCTTGCCTGATGGCACAATTTACCATCCTCCTTGACTTCTCCTCTCCTGGCTCTGCAGGGGAGCCCCTTTCTGTAGCTTTCATGGGCCACAGCTCCCCTAGGGTCACCTACAGTCTTGATCCTTTGACCCTAGGTCCAGCCCTCTCTCCCTTACACCAAGTGAGGGCTCCTGTGGGTTGGCTCTCCCATGCCATTTCTTCTTCTGTTTCTTTTTAAGAATTTTTTTAAAAGTAGACTTCACACCCAGCATGAAGCCGAATGCAGGGTTTGAACTCATGCCCGTGAGATCAAGACCTGAGCTGAGATCAAGAGTCAGATGCTTAACTGGCCGAGCCACCCAGGCACCCCTCTCCCATGCCATTTCTGAGGGATTGGTAGTGGCTGCCTGCAGTTCTGTGTTCAAAAGGATTCCGAGGCCATGCCTTGGCTCAGTGGCAGAGTGCCATGATTGATGTACTGTGCCACGGAAGCAGGAGAGGGGGGTGGGAGTGTGCATGGCACGTGTGTGTGCCATTGACAGCCTATCCTGCATTAGTTTATTGTGAGATATGGGACGTGTGTGCTTACTGAGACTCTTCCTCTAGGTCTAACTTTGGTGTCACATCTTCCAGGAAGCCTTCCCTGGTTTCCCGCATCCAGCGAAATCCCCTGTGTCTGTGCTCCTGCAGCTGTAACCGTCTGGCCTCTTGTCTGTGTTTGCCATTGACCTGTAGCTCTGTGAGCGGAGAGTCTAAGTAGCCACTCCATTGTTGTATTCCCAGCACCTTAGAATTGTGCACAGCAAACACTAAGTGCTCAATAAATGTATGACGAACGAATGCATGCATGAATGCATGGATAATGGAGCTGAGTTTGGTGCTGCTTTCTGTACCTCTGTCTGAGGCTTGGTTCCTCACTGAGCAAGGCTCTCTCTGTTTACTGTTGGCCAGTGCAAGGCTCCTGACTTTCTGGAGGCTCAAGAACCATTAGTCTCTGAAGTAGTTCCTTGTAGCAGCCCCTTCTCTCTTCATCCACCCTCCCACCCCCCAGCTCAAGCCATCTTCTGTTTGAGGCAGCATGAATGTTGCCTGCATGTTGACTGCAACAATGTTACAGTATTTCACAACCACTTTACAGGGAGGAGAACAACACAGGCATATCTGTATCATGGATATTTATTTTCCTAAATAAACAGCACTTACCAGAGGCTAGTTGTAGAAAGAGTGAGTCTGCTGGACAACTCTGCCCCTGGGGGAAAGGGAGGCCCATGGAGAAAGACCTAACGGAGAGAGAAGTAAGGCTCTTCTCATTTCTTGAAGAGGGGAGAGGAGAGAGTAGGGGATGGATATAGATCTTTCCAGATAAGGATTTGATGGAGTGGTTCAGAGATTAGCGCGTCTGAACATTCATTCATTAATCTCTTCATTCATCCACTTGCCATCTTTCTTGGGCACCCACTGTGTATTGGGAACCTGTTATGTACTGCTGTTACCATGGGGAACAAGGCGAACCCCGTCTCTGCCCCATGCAGCTTATACTCCAGACAGGCAGGTGTCACTCCCAAGGACAAATGTAGTGAAGACCCTCCCAGGGGATGTATGAGTGGATAGGGAGCGGGGGCCCGGAGGCCAGTCAGCAGCTGTGGCCAGCTCTGGCTGCTCAGCAACTTTCCCTCCATTTCTAGCTTGAACATCCTGATTCCCTGTAAAAAGAAGCATCTCTCCTTAAACTTGTGTAGTCATGCAGAGTGAAATCAAAGCGCCTGTCCCTCCTCAGCCACTCAAATCC